ATCAGTCCAATTGGTAACACTTTATAATAACTTTCATTAACAAACATTATATAATGTTTAAATAATATTACTTGATATATATTCACATATCTAGAAATATGAGATAATGTGCTTGTTAATGTTAACTAATGAACTTATTAAACATTACCAAATGATTAACAGATCATTATTTAATGTAAATTGAATTGCTTACAAATGCCATTAAACTTTCAATTCATATGATAATGCATTTAAAAAACAAAATCTTCAAATGATTTTGACAGATGGTTTACAATGATTAAAAGCGTCATTAATAAATCATTAACAAACATTATATAATGCTTAATGGATCATTAGTTAATGTTTACAAATGTCAATAAACTTTCAATGCTTTTTAAAAATCTACAAATGATTTTAACAGAAATTATACAATATTTACAAGCTTATTTGTTAATGTACTTTTGAATGCTTAAATGTCATTAAACTTCAGTTCACATATTAGCTAATGCTCATTTTTACATTTACAAATCATTAATACCTTTTATGAGCAGTCATTTTGATGGCAAAAAAAGTGTCCCAAATGACTGGAATTTGCCCTATTTTCACATCTTAAATCCTTTATTAATCATTTGTTCATGTTTTTGCAGTACCCTATCTAAAGTGGAGACTATTCATCATTTGTAAATGTTTATAAACATTTACTAATTTTTTTTAGTATCTTTATTGGAACTGGACCTTTAGCTACTTTAACAACATTTGTGTAAAGGGTGGTTAGTTAAGTTTAGCTAAATGCTTTGGTAAATTATTTCTTGGTAAAATAATCACATTGTAATTTGCGTGTAAAACTTGTTTTTATCACCTCAACACTTATATTAGTACAGTGTTGACTCGTGGGTTTTAAAATAGAGGAGGCACACTAATTGTATTGGTCTGGGATCCCTGCCGATTATTATTATTTGCTTAACCACTTTAAAATGGCTTTTTGGTTGCATTTAGTCAGAAAACTTAAAGAAAATTACATACATACAGCAAGATAATATAATTTCACTTACCTGGCCTATCACTTGAAGCAAACATCCATCACTTCTTAAAAGTCTGTGTTAAAAGAGAGCTGCCTGTTGCGCCATTAATTAAGCCGACTGCTGTAGCCTATATCCAGCTTAGGCTGTTTTCCCTAAATTTGTATACTGTTTGAATGACAGCTTGGTAACTCTGTTGGCGATCAAATATTCAATATCGCTACTCATCATAAGTACTTGGTACATTATCAGCGCAGCGGGAGACGTTCAAACTAATATCACGTAATTTACGTCTCTGTGATGATTGGTTGATATCAGAAGGGAGGCTAGCCTCCCAACATCCATCCCTTCTTAAAAGTCTTTGTTAAAAGAACCAACTGCTGTAATGTTAGCCTATATCCAGCTTAGGCGTGGTCTCTCTTTATTTTTAATTTGTATATATACTGTCTGATTGACAGCTTGGTAACTCTGTTTGCGATCAAATATTCAATATCGCTACTCATCATAAGTACTTGATACATTATCAGCGCAGCGGCAGACGTTCAAACTAATATCACGTAATTTACGTCTCTGTGATGATTGGTTGATATCAGAAGGGAGGCTAGCCTCCCCTACTAGGTTTCTTTTCTCAACAGTCCTCAGCGCTGAAAGTGAACACTCGATGCTGATTGGCTAATATTTTTTTACCAACGGAGGCACTAGAGCTCAGTGCTCACCCGGCCTCCCCTTCTCTATCATTAGCGGTTGCAATTACATCAGCAGATTCGGCACATTCGCGATAGAAAAGTGCCGCTTTCACGTTATGTTATTACAACTGTGAAATTACAAACAAAAAATACACATTCTTAGACATGAACTGAAATTAATTGTGAATTTTATTAACATCAAATCGTCCTCCTCCCATTTTCACCTCAAAATTAGGGGGAAGCTGTGCCTCCCCCGACGAGCCGCCACTGTATTAGTATACTACTGTGTATCATTAAACAGAATATTCCTTGAGTCATACATCAACAGAAGGGGGGAAAAACACATTTCCAAGAAAATACTTCATTTGTCATTTATCAAAACAATACAATATAAACAGATTGAATCGTGTTCCCTTATAGTAATCAAATTGACCCCTGTACACTTGTTGACCCCTTACCCAACCTTAAACCTACCCATACCACCAAACCTGTCCCTTACCCTACCCGTATCACACCTCAACAGCAGCAAAGGTGTTGTGCATTGACAAAAGCTTTTAATCATTGTATACCATCTGTTAAAATCATTTTATAGATTTTCAAGATGTGCATGATCATATGAATTAGAAGTTTAATGACATTTTGTAAGCATTTTAATTTAAATGAAATGTTAATTATTAGGTAATGTTTAATACATTTATTAGTAAACATTAACTAATGATCCGTTACGCATTACATAATGTTTGTTAATGATTTATTCATGAAAGTAAATATAAAGTATTACCGTCCAGTTTTGTGTGCCCTTATCATCTGTAACATATTTGGGTCTAGACACTCCATTGGGAAATTAACTTTATTTAATGAAATATCGCTGGAGTCAACAAGACCTCCAGTGTGTTTATAATCCTGACAGTGGCTGTTTATTAATTTTCCCACGCAGAAAAGGGCTTGATTACTTTCAGGACATGCAGAAGTTCAGAAATATGCGCTTCAGTGAAATTTATAAGGTCCTTCTTGTGAATTCAGACATGAAATATTTTGTTGTACCCATCAAATGATGTCATACCCTTGAGGGTGTCACATAAACGTCAGGTATATCATTTGTAATCCCTGAGGTTGTATTTTCAGTGCAAACAAATCAACCTCGGATGAACTTTGCAGAACATTTAGTAGGACATTTCATCACTTTCTTCCGTGAACTTTCTTAAAATGCTACTTATTTCAGTAGGTGTAAATCTGAGGGAGCTGCTGCGTGTCATTTGCTTAGCTGAGAGTGAAAGGACGATGCCGCAGCTGTTCTCTGATGCAGCGGAGAGCACTGCTGACTCAGATTATAGCTCTCTTATGGTGACAATAACGCATGTGAGCCCCTTCACAATGGTGAGACTTCTCTCTTTTCTCATTAAGTTGAAGAGAAAGTGGGAGTGCGTATGTGTGAGATGGAGAGCGAGGAGGAGGGAAAACAGAAATTGAAGAGTGGGTGAACAGAAAGATGGGCGAGAATGAGGAGGAGGAGAGAACAAAAGAGATGGAGAAATGACCATAGGGAGCATCAAAACGGGGAGTAGACAATTCAATGTCAAATGAGTGATTGTCAGGCAAAATGTTGCCACAAACGCAGAGGCCCTCTAAATAAGGATATATTTTTACCCTGGTCCATGGAGAGTGCTGCAAAGTGCTTACACTGCTGAAACAGGAGAGAGCTTTAAAATGCTCCCTGGACACAGCTAATGGCTCCCTAACCTGCTGTTCATTGTTTTGTTATTCTGACGATACATGCATATTTTGGAGGCTCGAGACTAATGTGTTTGGGCTGTCGAGCTGTGGTTCATTAGAGTTCTTTTGATCTGTGTGTTTCCATGGAAAAGACCATTGAAGGATGCAAGAAAAGCAAATTACGCCATGTTATTTACCTTTTAAGGTACAATAGTCTTACATCCGGTGCGGTCTCACATGACCTTCATGGCATTTAGTCTTTGTCCGTATAAAAGCAGTTGTGTGCTCGATGGTTGGTTGCATGGTTAGATGTATAATGTCTTTACATGGGTGATATATGAAAAGCAGTTTGTAATTGGTTGTACATTCCTCACTTTACAACTGACGGCCATAGAAATGCTTTTCAGTCTCTTTCATCCAAACTGAAAAGGGCCTTGACCTTTAGCACATGGGTATTCTTGCCAACCACACTGAGCAAAAAAAGTCACAAGACTAAAATTACCACTGCTGTAATAAACTGACAAGATTTGAATGAACTGTCTGATTCAGCTGGTACTGTCACATAATGTACTGATTTAAAAAAAATCTCACATTTGAACCTCCCTTTTCCCAGCTTTGTTTTTGAATCCTATTATGAAACTCAAGATCCTGGAGTATACAATTCCTGACAATCCAGACATTTTCAAACATGAAACATTGAAAGTAATTCTTTAAAAACAGACTGAGGTCAGTGACAGACTGGCACTCACAATGCAGGCGGATGAAAGGCAGGCTACATGTGACAGCTTGCAAGACTCAAGACTTTAACTCTCACAAACTGGCCGTCTTTGCAGAGAGCAGATGACTTTACATTACACCCTGCAATATGAGACTCCGCCACTGCAATTAAAAGAGTTAAAGTTGTTTTGTTTCAGATTTGAACCCCATTAATGAGCTGAAATTATCTTTTTAGTAAACCGTATCCGGCAAAACAAACAAACAAAAAACATAATATTTATTGCATGCAATAAGATTATTTATCATATTGTAAAATAAAAATCATGTCATTTATATAAGCTTGAATAAACCCTGCAAGGCTGCAATCAAATGGTTGCATTTTCTGATCATTTTTCTTGCCAGTGCGACAAAATTTTTTTTAAGAGGTTGCACTGGTGCGATCACCACGTTGTCCATCTGATAAGATCTGCTATTTCTGTTGCATCTGAGAAACATCAAATGAAATGAAAGGGGAACGAAACCACACTATTCGTTTGAGCTGTGCTGTGTGGACCATTTATCAGCTCGAAGCAATATGCGCAGTTCAAGCTCAAAACATACTCGCGGGCCAAGTGTCAAATCTTGACAATTTTTGTACTTAAGTATGGAAAGTTAGGAAAAGTCTCAAGAAAATCAAAAAGTTCTTCAAATTGTGATGGAATTACACAATAAGCAAATAAAGAGCACTCCTTTTATAATCCCTGAAGCTGTCAGTCAGTTCAATATGATGTAGAATAGGTTTTTGCTTAATACTTCTAAAAGTTATTTTTATTAGATCTTTTGTATTTCAAATGAACAACTAAAGGTTTTTGGTTGTAATGCAAGTTTTCATTATATTTGTATCCAGATTACTGTGAAGATCCACTGGTGACAACGCTATCCCCAGCTTCCTTCCAGAACTCATCAAAATTCTCTGACAGAAGGTCACCACACTATGCTAAACTCAACAGAAGAGAAGGTATGTGCTCCTGTCTCGTTGTTCTCCTGCCCTGTTTGTACCAAAAAAAACATCCACAGTTGTCTGTGTTTATGTGACTAGAGAATTAAGCAGAAGGGAAATGTGTCCTTGTCAGAAGAAAATGTTGACGTAAAGCTTTTTTATGAATGCCTAACGTAATGCAACTTCCACAAACACTGCAAAAAAGTATTAGAAGACTATACTTTCGTTGGAGGGAATGTAACCGTCTGCTGGTGTCCATGAGCAGTACTGATGTGAAAAGCTCTGGTGATTAGCTGTGCCTGAAGCAAAACAGTTTAAGTCATTTCTCAAGTGTGACATGACATAGACGAACATAAATCTCTAATGACAATATGCAACAACGATTCAAAATGTAAATTCGGACTCAAGGGAAGGTAAAGGAATGTTAAAAAGTTTAGAAGTTTTAGTAATCAAATGTCATTTGTCAAGGGAGTTTTCTCCCTTAATGCTTGGCATCAGTTAATATTCAAATCCATGTTTACAAATTCTCATTCAGTGTTTGCAGATTTTCATCCAATAGCTTGAAGATTGAAAAAAATCAGTGGCACCATTAAACGCAGCCCTGGTCAGTTTTTTTAAGATGTTGTCTAACATGAATTTAAAGGAAAATGTTTTCAAAATGAATATTTTGTCACTATTTGCTCACCCTTGTGTCGTTCCAAAATTGTATGACCTTTTCTTTCTACTGTGGATCATAAAAGATTATATTTAGATTTTTTTTTTTTTTTTGTACAATGCAAATCAATTGTGTCCAAAACCTTTGTTACAATACCAACATTCTTCAAAATGCCTTTTGTGTTTCACAGAAGAAAGCCAAACAGGTTTGAAATGTGAGTAAATGATGACATTTATTATTATTATTATTATTATTATTATTATTATTATTATTATTTTAGTTTGAATCTGTTTAAATCAGAAATGCCAGTAAATGCATGTCTCCTGAACAACAGCAGCCCCAGAAACGATCAGGAATCAAATCCAGAAAGAGTATAATGACCGCTCTTGATTTGCTTAATGATCCTAAAACACTCACCATTGAACTATTGTGCCAGACTGAGCTTTGGCAAAGCACAGGGTATAACAAGAGGGCTGTATAAATTATGACTAAGCAAACTTGTTGTGGTTTTTACTTCAGGGAGGTGGAGAGCAGTTTGATTAATGCAACCTTACAATCAGCAGCTGATTACAGTCTGTAGAAGCACTTGAGAAAACTCCCCAGCCAATTAAGCAGTTAAGCATAGACATGTCATAAATACCAGCTAATGCCAAGGCCCTCTGAGAGCTTTGTTTTGTGCACTGTAAGATGCTTGACCTCATGACCCAAACACACTCCAAGAACTTCCTTATGATGCTAGGTGGCACTCACAAATGATCACACTACCAAACTCTATAGTGGATTCGTAACTTTTTGGATCAGTGGTGCCTTCCAGCAGTAATAAGTGGGGCTACGATATGTCGGCTTGTCCCTGTCACCCCCAAGGCGTTTCTTTTTCTCGTCATGCCTCTTGCTTAGTAACAGCAGGAGGTTTCCTTTTGCTGTGAGACACAGACAGGCAGTTTGTTCCCAGTCACTGCCAGCCTGATCCAAACGTGTACAGACACCAAATGTTGTTATCGTTTGATCTTCCCATCTATTCATCATCTGCCTCTGATGGTCATTGAAATACAGGACCTGTAAGTTGTAATTTATGTCTGTGCTTATTATTTGTGTCAGTTTGTAAATTATTTAATAAATTGCTCAGGCTAAAAATACATTTTCTGGATGCACATGCTGTATAAGAATGGTTTATCTTCCTCCTCATGAAGCCTGCACTGGAATGTAATGAGCTCAGAGTGTTCATCCTGACCTTTTGTGAAAATCTTCACAGATGATATGTACCCAGTCACCGAACAGCACTGATGAAGCGTTTATTATCTGACCATCTTGTTCTGACTTGCCCCGAGGCAACCCTATCACACCTGACCTTGAGGGTTTCCTTCCACCCCAGCTTGATGTTCTCTCGAAAAGCAGCTTTAACTTGAGCTAGGTGTGTGTGTGATATTGACCAAAAAAAAAACATCTCTATATTTTCTGGGATTTTGTCGATAACTAGATGATATTTCATGAACTTTTGCATTGAGGCAATATTTTTACCTTTATAATGCTAATTGTCAGAAGCTGACAGATGTATGCATTGTATGTCAATATCCTTACTTAAAACATAAATCCTTCTTTACACTGAACAAGTGGCATAAAACGGCATCTTTAGTAGCATTCAGTACAGACTGTTAATTGCAGTTCAGAGTTGCTTACAAGCATTTTCACAGCTTTTACAATTGCATAAGTAATGCTATGAGGATGTTTTTTTTTTAAGATTTTTTTTTAATGAAACGATGATTATGAAATTCAATTTATTTATTTTGTTTTCTAAGGTGCATTTATAATCCTAGTATGGTTTTCCCATCAGAAACGGTCATAATTTAGATGTGTGTGTATATAATTTTATTTTATTTTTATTTTTTTTACCCTCAGATTTATTTAGTAACGAAGCACCACTATGTGTTGCTCAGAGGCACTGTGGTTTCATTTGGAAATTTTTGTTTGGCAATGTAAAGTGAAAACAGACAAAACTGAAATAATTGTCTAAATTGTAAATAAAATGTTAACTTTTTCTTATGAAGTAGTTTAATAAACAATGACATGACATTTCACAGTCGTGCTGATACTTGTGAAAATCAGCACTTTTGCAGCACACCCATAGCTTGAGCCTATTTCTTTGGCAGATTCAAAGGATGCAGTTTCTGAAGATGTTCTGCATTCGTGCCAAAAATTATTTTAGAAACCAAAAACAAATTTTGCATTAGAAAACGTGGGCAGTGTTCTTTATCATTGTTCCAAGGTACATGTAATTTCTTTGCTATCATTCCACCTGCAGAAATCAAACACAGCTGCTTTAATGTACCGCTTGCTCGATTTATAGATTCTCCTGTCTGCCAGCATGATCCTTCCTGCAGGTACTGTTCACTGAATTCTGGCAAAATAAAAAGAAAAGGAGGTGGGTACTCGGTACATCTGCGTGGGTGGACAAATATTTCCAAGAATTCTGTGAAGTTGTGGTGTGTGTGTGTGTGTGTGTGTGTGTGTGTGTGTGTGTGTGTGTGTGTGTGTGTGTGTGTGTGAGAGAGAGAGTGTGTCTCCTTTCTGAACAATCGATGCAGGAAAAATTACAAGGAATTTGCTGTGTAATTTCCAAATTGCCTTTTTTTTTAACCGCTGTAATATTATACTGCACTGAGGTCTGTCTGCTGTCCTCCAGGGATGGGTTGGCGATTTCTATCTCAAAAAGAGAGAGGCTGAGTCACAAAACTGCTGGAACAAATTTAATTCATTTTTTCCTCTGACCACAAAGCTTCAGTCCTGTCAGCATGATGAACCAGAGTATGAAATCTTAGTGAGTGCTTGAATCGTGGGGAGAATTATGCCCCAATTCTGTTCCATTCCTCTGTATTTTTTTAAGGCACTTAATCTGTCCTTTTAGGTGGTGGGGGATGGTCTCCAAATGGAGAAGACCAACAACCTTGGCTACAGCTGGACCTACAGGACAGGTTGAAGGTCACATCCATTGCTACCCAGGGTCGGTGGGGCAGCTCTGACTGGGTCACTCGCTACCAGCTGCAGTACAGTGACTCTGGACAAACCTGGAGACCATATAGACAAGAGGACGTGATATGGGTGAGTCTAGCTAATTTCTGGAACATACGCATCTTGAGTGATTGCCTAGATATTATTAGGCATTGGTTGAATTATAGGACACAAATTATGGTGTGAGAAATAAAACCATAGCAAACATGACTGACAGATAAATCTTCAGACACACACATACACTGCTGTAATAACTCTAAAATGTCCAAATGGCACTTCAGAGAATGCTATTAATGGTTTCATTTTATATATGAAAACTGAAAACACTCAGTGCCAACCTGCAGGGCATCAAGAGTCACTGCTGAGACTGGGTCAGGTCCTTTTTATGTTTGTACAGTGATGTTATAGAGATTAGGAAGAAACAAACAATGCTGGACTCTGGGAGAAGATCATATTTAGGATATTCCAAAAGCTACAGAAAGTGTATTCTCTGATTTAGTATTTATGTACCATTATAGTATTTATTGTTATATTGAATAAGCTTTTGTTTTGTATTTTAATTTTTTCATGTTAAATTTGGTTTAGGTTCTAGTTAGTTTTATTTTTATTTCAGTGATAGTTTTAGTATTTTTTTGTATTTTTGTCCTAGTTACTTGCCAAAGCTACATTTCTGATAAGTTTTTCCATCTAATATTCCAATTTAATTCAGCTTTATTTCTATTTAATGAAAAATGATTTTTAATAGTTTTGATTTTAGTCACTGATTACAACACTGACTCTCTGTAGAGCCACTGTGGGTTTTGCTTATGGGCATAATAATGCAACACTGTGATCTTTGCTACTAAGCAGTTCATGGGTCACCTACAAAATACATGTTTTGCTGGATTCTTTTATTCTGTTTGGCTGTCAAGTATTCCAGCCTATGTTTTGATTCAAATAACAAAGATCTAAATGCTACATGTGGCATTGATGCAAGATGCAATGAAGCATGAGGCATTATGATAAACTGCGTTCGGTGATGGAATTTTGTTTGGAATATATTGATAAATTATTCTCCATGTCTGAGATCAATAAAACACACTTCGGGTCACTTAAGACCTGTCAGTGCATGCGGCACATACAAATGATTCATTAGACTGTTAATTAATCCTGCAGTACTCTAGTGGCTTGTTTCGGTGAAATGATTTTCCTCTTCAACACGGAGAAGAAATTTAAATGGACTTATTTTAAGTACATTTAATTGTCATTCAGATTAAAATGTGAAGTGCAGTGTTACATTTATCAGAAATGTCAATCAATCTTGTGTTCTTGTTTATTTCCATGAGGTTACAGTTGCATAAAAACCACGAAATCCTAGTAGACTGATGAGAGGGAGTATTAATTATGAATGTATTCGTAAGCATCCAGAGTCCACTGTGGCAATACTGGTGACACAGTGACTTGAGCATTAATTATCTTGAAGGACATCTTGCTAATTTGCTTAATTCTTTTAGATTATTAATTAATGAGATGAATATTGCCCACTGGGATGACTTAATAGTAATTTGAGCAGGAAGAAACCCTATTGTGCGGCAAGCAACCCCTGTAGAGATACATGTGCATGTGATACTTATGTCAGTGACTTCTAAGATAAATAAAAGAGTTGGCTGACAGAAATTCAGCATAGATTATTTTTATATTTATATCTATTCAGCCTCCAGTCTAACCACCGGGTTTCTTTTCACCTTGAAATATCAAGTCTGTCACCAATAGAGATGGTGTGAGCTTTGGTGTGGCCAAAAGGATACATGTGAAAGGAGAAGCTCAGCTTCTCCTTGCTGTCGGGCACACACTGGCAGTAGGACCTTGAATTTGCTTGTTTACAGAGGAGCAAACCATCTCACAGAGGTGCCAGTCTGTGCCAAGGTGAGTTGCCATGCCAGCTGGAGCAGATGCCAATGAGTCAGACAGCCAGACAGACAGAATCCAATGCCATCTGTTTAATGCCAGAATACAGTCACACATTTTTCCTAAACTGAAACACGCTGCCCATTAAATAAGGGTCTCCTCATCACTACCGCCCACTGGATACTAGCCATTAATCATGGTAAACATATGAGTTTCCATCTTAATAATATGATTCTGCTGCTTACATGATATTTATGACCCCATTCTCGCTTTGTGTGTGTATTAACATTTTTGGATTGGTAATAAGTTGGCATATGGATAGACAGGAAGTATATACAGAATAATCTATAGGCACTCTAGGGTTGAGGCTAATGCATGGAAGAGAACAGGAATACAGTGGTGATTCTGCAAAGAGACAAATTTGTCATGATTCAGTCAGCCTTTCAGAAGGGCTGCTGAACTTTTCCATTTCCATTTCCGTTTTTTTTTTTAAATCATGGACTTTTTGTGGAACAGATAACCCTCTCTCTCTCTCTTTCCCACCATCTGTGTGAGAGCTTTCTGGGGCCTGGAGTACAGCTGAGGTTTTATTCCTGCTGGCACAAAGCGTTTTATTCTCACCACAGCATGAAGGTGGTGCACTATGACAATTAAATCCTACATTAGCCACCATCCCCTCCATATGCATCCCTCTTTTTTTTTTACAACGTCTGTACTGAACCAAGTGCACCTTTCCTTTGTTTTAATCTATATCTGTACCTTGACGTTTGCCTCCTGTGTGCATGTGAGAGAGAAGAAATAAATTGTGAACCATTATCCAAGTGGAGAACTAAGGACATTCACTAGTCAGTTTAATACTTGCATGTACAGAAAAGATACTCAAGCATTTCTGCCAAAACAGGTGTGTACACAGTTTTATTCCTACTTCCTACCCTCACTCTAATATTAATTAAGCTGCCTTATTCTGAGTGAGGAAATGCATAGCTGTGATTAGTAATTAGCATATAACAAGCCAAACTATGTAAGGGCTTTTCACACACACTACCTTTCAAAAGTTTGAAGTCAGTAAGATTTTTTTTAAAGAAAGTAATACTTTTTTTTTTTCAGAAAAGATGCATTAAACTGATAAAAGGTGACCACAAATACATTTATAATATTACAAATAATAATAATGATTTTCAAATGCTTAACTGAAAAAAAAACTATCACAATGACCACAAAACTATTCAGCAGCACAACTGTTTTCATTATTAAGTAATGTTCCCTTTCATGGGAACTTCGAACTGCGTCCTCTAGGGGTCGCTATGGGGTTCAGCAGCACAACTATTTTCATTATTAAGTAATGTTTCTAGAGAACCAAATCGGCATACTAGAATGATTTCTAAAGGATTGTATGACTGCTGAAAATTCATCTTTGCCATCACAGGAATAGATTACTGTCACGATCTGCACAAAGACACAATAATGCAGTTTATTAGGGTAATCCAAAGCCATAAACCATACACAGGCATGAGGTAGTGATGGGTGCTTTTGAAGCACTGCTTCGTGAAGCTTTGAAACTTTTGTGAATCAGTTGTTTCGAAACAGTGGTTCGGAGCGCGTATCAAACTGCCAAAGTCATGTGATTTCAGTAAACGAGGCTTCATTACATCATAACTGTTTCGAAACGTTTCAAAATATCAATGGTTTGCCATTGGGGGGGGGGCGATCTCTGTAAACCTGTGAATCATGCAAGTTCATTGAGCCCGCTTCTCAGCGGCGAACCATTGAACCAATGTATATGGTTTTTACCTGATCTCGGATCAGTTGCATCAAATTGCAGACATTTTTAACGAGACATTTGTGTAATTAAAAGGGTGTATAGCCTCTTACTGGTCTCTATATACAAGCTCTCTATAAAACAAACAAAACAAGCCCTGCAAATTAATATAAAATATTTTAAAAACCACAGATTATACAGACACTTTATATTTAATGGTATTTTATTTTTATTGCATTTAATGTTTATACTTTCAATAAAACATTCGCAATGGGCTTTTAAAATCTGTTTGTATGCATGTTTTAAGAGTTTTTGTTGCATTTACACACTTTTGATCAGCAGGCATCACTAGAGTGTGGTGTTTCAAGCGCTTCGAAACAGTGAATCATTTTGCGAAGCAATTGGTTCAATTGATTTGAAGCGTTGAAAAGGTTTGTTTCTCCCATCACTAGCATGAGGTCATACACAGGGTAGTCAGTCCAAAGGGTAGCAAACAGGGCAGAAAACTAAGAAGAAAAACAGGAAACCAGGCAAAATCCAACCAAGACCCAGGAACCAGGACATGCAGACTCAGGCCCCGTCCACACGAACGCGGTTATTTTTAAAACCGCAGCTTTTTGCAGTTTTAAACGAGGTTTGTCCACATGCACACGTGGCACCAGGTCACCGAAACCAAAAATTTTTGAAAACTCCTGCCAGGGTGCAGATTTTCAAAAACTCTGGTTGCAGTGTTCTCGTGTAGACAGCGAAACCGGAGTTTTTGGCTTGTGACGTCGAAGCCTGCGCTGTTATCTCCGTCTTCTGGAAACCTTTTCAGGCTTCTGATTGGCCAACATGGTTTTACAGTTGAGATTATATCGCCACCTGTTGGTTGGGCATGCTCTTGACAGTGCTTCATAGCATGCGTTTGCATTTTCATGTGGACGGAATTTTTTTTTTTAAAACGGAAGGAAAAACTTTTCTACAGTTATAAAAAAATACCTGTGTACGTGTGGACATGGCCTCAGAGAAGCAATGTGACAACCAAGACTCAGCAATGAATGAGTGAAAAACCAGGCTTTAAATAGGGTGAGACTGATGAGGTAACGAGACACAGGTGAATGCAATCAATGATCAAGAGTTCAGGCAAAGGATTATGAGGAATACAGTTTTGAGAAAGTAACAACAGTGTGAGGTGGAGTGCCCTCTGGAGGAGCTCATTGGCACTCCAGCCAGTGATTGTAACAATTATATTTTATCATATTAAAATTGATTAATATAATGTTTTAAATGTCAAAACTAATACTTTACAGTATTACTGTTTTTGCTGTAGTTTTGCTAAAAAAAAATGCAGCTTGGTGAGTATGAGACATCTTCCAACAGCATAAAACCTTACTAACCCCAAACATTTAAACATTAGTGTACTTTCCTGTACATCCATTTAAAAAGCAAACGAAACCCAATA